CCGAGAGTAGTTAAGAAACCCAGTAACAGTTCTCTCAAAGGAAAGCAGACTCTCCCCCTTCCCTGGGGGCCAAGCACTACCCCTCGCTGGGATCCCGGACGTACAATGTGTCCTGGCCGACGTGCGTGGAGGGACTCCCACCAAACCAATCTAGGTAGTGGAAATGGTGGTTTCGTGGCGCAGGCAACTAAACGGCAGCCTGGGGGAGGAATATATAGCGAGGACGAAACGGGACTAGCGACTGGGAAAAATTTTTCTCAAAGGCAAACGTCCCTTCCCCAGAGATCAAGTACGACTCCTCCCCCTTCCCCGGCTCCTGCCTGATGGGACTCTTCCAGCGATGCTGTACCCTGCATCAAACAATCAGCAGCGGCGAATCGCTACTCACCTTTGTACGACAACCCTTCGATCGAGGCTGGCTGTCGAGAATCCTGCCTGGCAAGAGAAACTTGTCGGAATACGTCGTAATGGTTCAGGATGCTCAATCGTCGGGGTAATGTCGTCATCCTCAGGGATGTTCGTCGCCTAAAGACAAAACTAGAATTTTCATGTCTGAAGGACTGGACCAAAAGAGAGACATCGGCTGATCTCTGTTCTGCTTACCTTCGCTTCCTGCTTGAATTGGAACGTCGCATTCTCTAACCGGATATTGTAACAAGCGCTGTTGGGCACATCAGTTTGTGAAATGGAATGAGCCGATAATGCCCTCTTCCGGAGATGCTGTTCATCCTGAAAAGGCAGAGGTACGATGTACTTCCAGAGAGTAATGATTTGAAGACAGTGGGCACGATGGCTGGGGCGGGCGGTTGTTGCCGACGATGAATCAAGTGAGGTGTGCCCAAACGCTCTCTCCCAGTACTTCCACCAGTGATACTGGCAACAATGACCCACCTCCAGCAATCGAGCCCACAGTTTTTGAAGGACATTTCATTCGTCATAGGGGAGCAGAAGGGCCAACCATTGTGCATGTCCTGCTGGTGTCTTTCCTCTTCGCTCACTCAGAAATGAGGGAGCACAAAAAGGCACAATGGTAGTTTGGCTTCGCCCCTATGACGAACATGGATTGCCTCTAAACTTGCGAAATTGCTCTGCACCTGGAGTGTTGGATAGTGCGCTTGTCGATAACTGCTACGGTACGATGTCGATCGATAACCAATGTTTTCATATCTGAAAACGGTATTCTTGAGTCAAATACACTTGCACTGCCAAGAATGCACTGCCACATTATGGGCCAATTTCAAATTCAGAAAAATGTGGAATTTCGTGCCACAAATTATCGTTCCAAGATGGCTCTACAGCCTTACTACACGCTGATGGATATAGGTGGAGCTAAATGGAACATTAGCTATACTCGCTGGTATGTGAACGAGTATGAGTATGAAACGTATCTTCTACTAGGCGCTATGTACTAGGCGCTCTCATCTATGAAATTCTCATTCTGCGATTTCTGCTTTCTCATTCTGCGATCGCTAAGAGAAGAGACGCATCAATAAGGAAGGCGGGGGTGGTCCAAGTGACTCCGATAATCAGTGTGAGACAGAAATCGCAAAGTATGAACGTGGCTATCTACTAGGCGTTCCCATGTATTAAATTTCAGGAAAAATTTAATATAACCATGCTTTACTTTTTCTAATGAGTTTGTTCGAATGGCGATTAGTTTTACGAGGTCATGTGTTTATGAAAACAGGCGGGATACAGTGAACCCAAAAATCGCACGTGAAGTTCAATGTATCGGCTCAGGGTTAAAGGGGAGGGGGGCTATCCAGAGCGCAGCCTGGGGGAAAATTAAGTATTGTTGAGTGCACTAGTCCTACGATCTTAGTTCTGCGCGCAGTTTGGGGTACTGTATACCGCCTGTTTTCCTGGAGTTGTAATTTTGTGTTAGTTTTGGAAGAATAAGATTAGAGGATCTTACATAGGTGCTTGTTCTGTAGAGGGTTGTTGAGCATTAATTAGAGGGTTATCGAGTTCGTCACTGGTTATGGATCGAGTCGTGGTACTGCGACGAGAATTCGCCCTTGGTGGCAGACCAATTGAACCATTGCTAGACGTTGACGCTTCCGAGAAACGCTGATTTAGCGAGCGTCGAGAATTCGCATTGCTTAATGAGAAATTAGTGAGGAAGGTGAAAGAGGGGTAAGTTAGTTCAAGGAAAAAAGCACTTGTATGAACTCATAACTTTTTGGTAAAATTGTAGGCAATCGATAAAATATTACCTGGGCTGCCTCCGCTGAACTGGTTCATCTTCTTCATAATCGCTCTTTTCATTATCCGTACAGAGATCAGGCACAGATCCCCTTGGTGTCGTTGGACAGGACTTTGCCACTGCTCTAGTCAACGTTGTGCCATTGTTCTGCTGAGGGAATGCCGACCAGGAGCCTATAAATTCAAAGCCTGATAATCCGAATTGCAATGGAATGCTAAAATACCTGCTGAAATACCACAAAAAAGGCAAATTCTCACTATAGAAAAAAAAAATCGGAAAGCAAACGTCCTAACAAAGCACCTTTTCAAAGTAAGAAAAAAACCTCCAAGAATAATCGATCTGGAAAATCTCCCAGAACAAGTCTCACCTCCATTCCCATTGCTCTCCATCGAACTAACATCCGGTTTGCTAGCGCTCAAGCGCATTTGATTCAGTCCCAACTCCAGCCCACGCAGTTTCATTGCAGCCGCATGGAAATCCTGAATAGATATCCAGAATTTAATAGAAAGGCATTGAAACTAATGTTATCATTCGTATCATTTCCACTTAGAATAAATGACTCGTTGAACAAGGAGCAAGGAGGCCACGAGGGAAACTAAACTCCATACCCCAGAGATGGGATGGGCGTGGCTGCGTAGTTCGCTTGAACATGGCGTCGACTGTGTTTTCAATGGTATATTAGCATTTTTGGACAACTGCAATTACGCCTTTGTCCTACACAAGACAAGATGGCAATTGTCTCAAAAGGACACATCCCACAAAAAAACGCATCCTACTTCACGCACAAATGGAGTGCGCAGCCACGCCTACCCCATCTCCAGGACACGGAAAAACTTAAAAGGCTCACTACGCAGAACCGGGAATATCGAACCCTTCCTCACCCCTCTCGCTCTTTTTTTGTAGAAATAAAATAGTTCTTTAGCACTGAAATTCTATCCCTTCAGAGATTGGACAAAACTCCTGATCTTCATTGCCAGTTTTGTGCAAGAAGTAATTCAGACGCTCGTCTTCCTAGCCATCTTGCGCCTTTCTTTAGAGAAACTGGGCGTTCAAGCTCCAATAAAGGGTTTTCAAAACGCGCATGACACATCAAGTCAGTGGGTGGGTGCGCCCGCAAACAGCTTACAATTTGTCCAGTGTGATTCGAAAACCGACCAGTTTTATAAAAAGGTCCAGTTTAACTTGAAAAGAGTCCAGTTTAACTGGGGAAACATTCAGTTTGGGTAGGAAAAACGTAGCTGTCAATTTGAAAAGTCATGTGGTATGGTAGGCACGGAAAGGAAAGCGCTGCCAGCAGCCCGTGACTTTTATATGACCTTATTTTCTGGGGTACAAAGCGCATTGACTGGCAAGGCCGCGAGGACACGCGTTAAGTTTCTGAACACAGCAATGACTTCCTCTGTCTTTTGCATATTTTAATTCTTCCACTGGTTTGCAAACACCTCTCACTGAATTAAGATCAATCATAGGTCTTGTCAGAGGCGAAGGCGCGCCTGACACACGAATGCTCCTTATATCCCAGAAAATAGGGCATTTTCGGAGGAAAACGAAAACGATGCAACATTTTCAGTTTTTCAGTTCCCCAGCGAACAAACATTGGAAAGAGGACAGAGTGGACCGGAACGAGAAGGAAGAAAGACAAAAAGGAAACGGTGTACACTTTAGTTCGATGCGGACGGTTGGGCGTGTCAGGCAGTATGAGTGTTCACACGGTCAAAGCCGTTCTCTGCCTTCTTGTTGAAACGCGCATGCGACAAAAAGTGGTAGAAAACGAGTAATACGAAGGATATGATACAGTATTGTCACTTGCCCGCTTCAACAACTGGTGGAGAACGAGTTTGGCACCGCGCCAAACGCAGCCGCACTGACACGCCCAACCGTCCGCAGCGAACTACACTATACACAGAGCTTGAAAAAAATCGTAAAGATAAAAGAATCTATTTGAAAGTCAGTCTTAACAGAAAGTACATGGATTCAAACCTTTTGTCTCTTCTTCCTCACGCTCTTATTCATTGTTTTGTCTTTCGCAAGTCGTTCAGCAGCCGCAACAATTCTCTTGTGTAGCTCAACGTCAGTCTCCAACTGACTCAACTTATCGCCCTAAAATTATACAATACCGTTCTCCGATGAACAACAGGCATTTCCAACAGAACAACTGACATTCTACCGTATATCCACTTCATATTCTACCATACTCACACCATCTTATCAGTGGTAGGAAGCTGATCCCCAAAACTGACCCCCTGCGGGCACTGCACATCTCATTCATTGTGATGAGAAAACTCAAATATACTTAAACCTGTCCCCCCCCCCTGGTTTCGCCTCCAGTCTAACTTCAGCGTGCTCGACATGAGAACCAGCTCGGATGCTTCACAAAGGGCACGTCCTACAGGTACCCATTGAGGAGAAGGGAGGGGGAAACCGTAACTGCCTTTTGAGAAAAGTTGCTTACGGGCCGGTTTTTTTTCCAACTCCTAAGGGGGGGAGGGGTTACATCCCTCCCCTCATCCCCTGCCCCCTTTTTTTCAGCACTCGACGCTTGTTTTTCCACAGAACGGTGGGGAATTTTCGGGAAAACATTCCAGAAAAGTGAGGAAATTGGGGAAAATTTCCAAAGATGGTAGGCTAGGTATGTGATATAAGCGAAGGCGTATGCAGCAGAACAATAACGTTAAGAGAGGGCGTCCTTGAAATTCTTCTTCGCGAAACGCAGGACGTGCGCCTAGTCTCAGAGTGGTGGCGCCGCGCAAAACATTTGTTGAGAGACGTTTTTATGAACACTCCTGTTGACGGTAGCTGGATGATACTGCCCGTGACATGGCATGTGCGCTGTGTACTGAACTCAGATCTTCCGACCGGAGAGAGCTCTTTTTCACGAGTCAGCGTTTAGCAGTTCGAAAAACGGTCAGCATGGTGTTTTGCTCGTGGACCGTGCGTGAGTTATACCAAAAGACGCGGTCGTTGCACTAGGCAACAAAAGCGCAAAAAGGATAACAACCGAGGAAAAAAGAAATTGAATCATTCAAGCAAGAAATTGGATAAAGCGGGGTGGGGGACGTCGGTTAAGGATGGGTAGGGTTGGAGAACTCAAAGAACTCCGAAAGATGCACGGAACTGGCACTGAACCCAACTCCTGAATGTGAAATCCTGCCCACGGGGCTGGGAGGACATGAGATTATTAACGCCTGAGCGAGGAGAAGGTGGTATCAGTCTTAATCCCATGGCGGGGAGTGCGTGAAGCGTGGTTAGGGGGAGTTGATTCCCAGGCGCAGCAACCAGCCTTGGGGTTCTCCAAACGAACCTGGCCGGTGCCACAACCCAGTCCTGCGCGCCTGTGGAGGGCTGCGTGTTATAGGCGTGGTTGTGCGGCAGGCGGTAGGCGTAGCGTAGCGAGGCGTAAGCGTAGGCGTAGCGTAGCGCTGTCGCAGGCGTACGGCCAGCGGCAGTGCCCGAAAGAAGAGGATGCATATCGATCTACCAGATTCACCAGCGTCACGCAGGCGGACACCGCTGGCGTACGCTAAGCGGCCATCCGCACGCGTACGCCAGCGTTTTTCGGTCGCAGCGTTTGCAGCGACAGCGGTTTTGCTACGTTTAGCAGCGGGCAGGGGAGGTAGAGACTATTGTGGCGTAGAGAGACCGCAGGAATCGAGAGCGTGATTGTAGAGAACATGCGTGGCCGTCGGGGACGCAGAAAGCCGATGTGCATTGTAGTATGACTTAATGCCGCTGGAGACGCAGAAGCCGATGCTGCATTGTACCGAAGACTATGTGGCCGTCGCAGACGCAGAAAGCGGGGCCATGTGCGCATTGTAAGACTAGGGCGAGTGAGAGACGCGCAAAGTCGAGTTTTTGTTGTTTGTATTCCTGCCCATGGAATGCTCTCCAACATAAGCTAGTCTTTACTCCCCCTGCCGCTGCAAACGCTAGCAAAACGCTGGTGAAACGCTGGAGAAACGCTGGCGTACGCTAGCGTGCCGCTAGCGTACGCCAGCGTGCCGCTGGTGACGCTGGTGAAGCTAGATCGATATGCATCCTCTCTTCGGCACTGCCGCTGGCGTACGCTGGAAGCGCTACGCTACGCTGCCGCAAAGTATAAACGCAGCCTGACAGGCGCCAGCTTCCTTAGTGAACAAGGCTATAAGGACACCTGGATTCGGGTGAACCAATTTCTTTATGAAGGCAGGATTTCACATCAGGACTCGGTCAGTGCTGGAGTCGGTCACATCCAGGAGTCGGTCAGGCCAAATTCTGGCCAATGTTCGTTGTATGTCGCTTACCGTTTGCTCATTTGTGCCGAAAGCGATAGCTCGTTATCATCCTCTTTTCAATCAGTCCTACCCTTATCAAGAGGGAAATAAGCAGAACATCAACAGCGAAGAGCGCGGTGATTCCCATTTCTACTTCACCAGTAGTACCAGTCGGACTCGTTTCTGATTCACCCCATAATGGCTGCCGAGGAAGCCGCACATGATGAAGAGCTTCAGAAAGATGCTCCAGGAAAGTCACATCAGCCACAGAGGAAAGTGAGGACTCCACGAATGCGAGCTGGCGCTGACACTCGACGATTCTCACAAATCATCGGCGTTAAGTTACCGGCACCTCTTGACGACAAACTAACCGTAATCTATCAACAAGTTACCGATCTCTCACCATTGCCTCCAGATTTCGATTATGGTCACATGTTTGAGTAAGTTTCCACGAAGATACTGGAAGTGGTTAGAAGTGATCATGTGGGGTAACTCTGGTCGTCTGGCGCTCTTTCTAGGCTCAAGGAGGGGAGACTTTCGTAAGGCCGCGTTTATACTCTGAGGCAGCGTCCACCAGCGACCACCACTGTCCACCGCGACCATCAGCGTTTCGCGCAACCGTCAGCGTCATTGACTAGGAAAGCATAGATATTGATTTAGCGTCTACCAGCGTCCGGCAGCGACCAGGAGTAGAGAGTATGGGGAAGTATGAGGGTAGCAGAATGCTGGTAGAGTATGGGAAGCAGCAGAGAGAAGACAGCTGGATTAGGCGTCGTGAAATTACGGCGCATGCAACCGCACCGTACTACTACACCGTACTCCTGGACGCTTGTGGACGCTGGTGGTCGCTGGTGGACGCTGCCGCAAAGTATAAAAGCAGCCTAAAAGATGGGTAACGAGCAGGCTCGGTGGGTGAACGTTGCCACCACAATTATCCTGCCCCTCCCCACCCGGTGCCACGACATCATCACAAGAATCTTTTACAGATCATACATATGGCGAGCTATTTTCTTAACCAGTTTCACTCTTGGAATTCGATTCGGAAACATTGAATTAATCAGCAGTTTGTTCATGGGATTATTAGGAAGTTTCATAGTCTTTATAATTGCGTACGTACTCGTTCCAGCAGGAATAGTATATGTCGACTCGCAAGCAGAAAAGGTATGGGCTGACGTGTACACCCCATATTCACGAGACGGAGTGGGCGTGACTGCGCATTTCACTTGAACACGGCGCAGAGCGCGTTTATGGCGTGATAGTTCCCATTTGAGGCAGCTGTCATCTCGAGTTGTCTTGGAATGACCGCAGTTGTCCCAAAAGCGCTAAATTCCAGTGAAAGTGCAACCGCCGCCACGTGCGAATAGAATAACGCAGGGCACGCCCCCTCCATGTCCAGGACAAATAGAAGCAAATACGAATTTTCAGAGGAAAATTAACATTTATGAAAGACGAATCACATTAATCGGTGTCGCTGCACTACTTGGAGTACTTGGCAGCGTTATGAATCAGCACTATATAATCAAGCACCAGAGGCCTCCCTCATATTTCCTTCCAGGGTTGATTTCCATAACCCCACCCCCGTTCAGGTAAGGTCTTTACATCCCACATTCGACTTTACACCCAAGAAGTCGCGTCGGAGCAGTGGTAGTTGGGAGGGGCCACGAGGCGGCGCCACTATGCCTCATCACGTCTTGCCTTGTTTTTCGATACCATGGCTAAGTGAGGCAGCGTTTAGACTTCGCCGACTTCGTCGACTTCGCAAGGCCCTCTCCGTTTTTGAGGAAAGGTGCTACGATTAATACGGAGTCGCTAGCCCGTTGACCTAATCACATCCCGCACCCACCCGCAGTCATGGACTACCCCTCCTTCTTCGCTTCTATAAAGTACGTCTTCCAAAACACTAGCGCCAGCGCCGATCAATAATCAGACTGCGGTCATAGGAGCTCCCTGGCTCGCTATTATCGCCATTAACTCTCTTCTAATAGCCAAGCTTCCACGCCCGATATGAACCGTGTCTATAGCCCAGCGTTTCCGCGTCCCAATGGCAATGAAAGCGCGGCCAGCGATGTTGTACCTTGGCGCCATTGCAACGGTAACGCGTCCAACAGCATCACAGCGCGTCATGGCGCGTCATGGCGAAGTCAGAGATGAGAGGGCGCAGACAAGCAAAGATGACATGCATTGGTCGCGCTGCTGTGTATTCCCCCAACTACCTCCGCCCCGCCGTGTCAGCACTTATTTAACTAACTATAGCCCTAGACCTATTAAAAACTATTCCAGGTGGTTGGTCCTCGATTTGCAAACAACCGCGTTCACTTCATAGCGGTTTCTGTCGGCAGTGCCTATGTCATTGGTGTCATGATCATGGCATTTTTCCACGACATCTACTTCAGCACCCTTCTCGATCTCACCGTATCAGCAGTCTTAGCCACCATCAACCTACAAATCATAGTTGCTGCTATCAAAGCCCGTAAGTGCTAAAGCACCGAATTACAATCTTGTTCGCGGCGGATGTAGGGGCGTATTAGCAGGGATGGATTTGGCGCGGTGCCAAACCCGTTCTCCACTAGTTGCTGAAACGGTAAAGCAACACGATTAGGCGGAAACGACAGATACGAATTATATGATACAATCTTGCTCACTTCAACAACTGGAAGCTGGATTGGGCGCCGCGCCAAGACCATCCCGCCTGACACGCCCCTTCCTCCGCGGCGACAAAGACATCGCTCCTAATGCTCAGAACATTTCAGACAAAGCTAACATAATGGCAGGACATGTGACTGCCG